ATAGAAAAAGCCATGACGGTATTGCTTTGCATTGTGGTGTTGTATTGTGTGGTCAGAGCCATAATAGGGTTATATGTTAAGTTGTGAATTAAATGATGCAGCTCAGTGTTAGAATAAATGTTTCATAAAGTAAGAACATTACACTTCCCAACCACCCATTTGTCATTCATTTTGCCCATTCTTTTTTTTTTCATTTTCATTATCTCTCTTTCCCTTCAATGACAAAAGACAGGTCATTTAGAAGAAATTTTGATAGAAGTAGCTGGATCTGATACAACAAATCATATTTCTCTACTTCAACATAGATGGTTGCAAGACAACAAGATCACTGAACTACATCCTGAATTATTCCAAGATCTAGAAAACCTGCAGGAGCTGTAAGTTTTTTTGCATCTCCTTTCCTCAGAAATTAGCTTACTGACTGCTCATCTCTTTGTCACTGTTGCAATCGTTTATTAAAGACTGAAAGAAATATCAGCCACTTGCAATATTTCCATAAGAACCAAAATGTAATCAATCAATTTTACCAAATTTTGATCTTTGCTTTTCTAATGATCAGAGTGTAAGATCTGCAGTCATTCAAAAATGAAATCATGCGTGCCATAAAGTTTCCAGTCACTATGGGATATTTTTTACCTTTTTTTTACCTATTTTTATATCTTCTGAGATCAAGAGCTAGATAGTTTCTTTAATTATTTCTACCTTAGAAATGATTTTAAATGAAAGGAGAACCAGCGTACCTCTTCCAACATAAGAAAAGAGAGTTTAGTGTGCTAGTTAATGTAAAACTGTCAGCTACGAGTTTCTCCTTTTGCTAGAAATATTGACCTTACCAAAATAAATGCGAAATATGTATATACTCGACAGTAACCATGATAAGCAATAAACAAAATGGTGCTGTTCATCCTGGTTTTATAGATAAATGAACGTTAAATTGTTTGACAATTTGTGAGACAAGATTAAACATTCATTTCTCTAAAATAGGCATAATGCCCAGATTTGACTACGACTTACTTTTTTATAATTTTTAATGACCAGTATCTGCTTGTATGATTTTTGCTTATGAATTATGAGCTACAGTCTTAATGAAAAGGCATTTTTTGTTTCATCATTCCTACCAGCTATGTGTCAAATAACAAGTTGAAGAGTCTAACACACCGACTTTTTAGCAGCCTTTCCAAGCTGATATATCTGTGAGTGAAATGGTTATTTAACAAAGGAGATAATTGGTTAGAACCAAATGATAATTTTTTTCATATTGTTTACAAAGGTACAGCCGTAACATCTCAAATATCATGGAGTTTTACAGCTTGATTTTGTAACTCTGATTAGATGAATAACAGAATGCTATTTCATGCAGTTGATGTGCTTTGTTAAGTAATGCTAAGGTACTTGGAGGTTTAAAAGTTTAAAAGCTTCTGTCTAATAGCAGCCTCAGCAACGCCTCGATTTCTTTCTGCTGGATAAACCATTAAGCTACAGCTGTGCCAGTAATAATGTTGCTAATGCTAGTAATAATACTAATAGTAATAATTGTAGTAATGATGAT